GTTGCATCCACATTTTGAAAAGAAAATTGTACTCAAAATATGTATTCTTTATTTGACAAACAGTTCATTCAACAAATGAAAATCAAAATTCACAAGAATTTGTTTCAGCTATTACAACAGAATGATAAAGCTTTTATAATACTAATTTAAAAACACACTTCAAAAACAAATATTGCAGTGTTTGAAGATGTAAATTCTCAAGAGGCAACAGTACTGTTGGCTTCTCTCTCCACTGGACACCAACTAACTATTTAAGTTGATTTGCATACAAAGCAGAGCTTGCAACATGATAGCTATTCATAGAGGCCATTTTTTTCTTTTACTTTTCAAATAATACAGTAGTCACACAATGAGGCAGTTCATATTTGTCTCAGTGAATCATTAATTTTTGACATACACCTGTACAAAATACTTGGGCAAAAGCCAGCTAAGATTTTCTGTTATTTTGCATGTTTTGTGAATCTATTCACGTCTGAATGCAACACTTTTTTTCTGAGATGAGGCATTTGTTTTTATACTAAAATATCTGAATTACTTTGAATAAAGCTGGAAATTATGTTCCTTAAAATAATTAAACAAATTAGGCACCAATGTTTTTGTAAGATATTTACATCAATCAAGGAAATTCGGTAGACTGATTTCCCACTGTTGTTTCAACCCCAAAACTTGTTTGTATTCAAAATTGATTATGACAATGCATATTCATATTGAAACAAACTATGATAAAGGGAATAATAATATATAACAAAGGGCAAGGTCACCAGAGTTCAACTATGTTTTTATATCATATTTCTCTTGTTAAAACAAAAAATAATGTGAAAAATATACTGTAATTTGCGAGATCGTGATAGATGCAATAATACAACTTTCACTTGATCAATTCACGCCACATACACTTGAGTGCCACTTTAAAGCGGGTGTGTGGGGGGGGGGGGTCGTCATCACCTGCGGATGCGTCAGATGGCCATAGCGTGTCAATGTTTACAAACAATCGTCTACCCATGAGCCTTTGCGTTTTTAGCGTGTGTCGTTATCGTCGCTTGGGACTCAATTCCCGCGCGTGCGCAGGTGACGACCCTCCCGCTTTTTAAGTTGAATAAAATAATCACATTTATATATGAAATTGCACCTAGTAATCTATGGTAATACAAGTCCAATATGAACGAATTACATTAGACTCATTTAGTTGTTGAGATACTACAGTCTACAATCACTTTAGATTTGTGTTATTCCAATGATTGATGTATATGCATATTATTCATTAATTTGCACAAACAAAATACGATCAAATATTGACAATGAGGTTGCTTCTTTCACAATTCAAGCCGTACACAAAAACATAAGAGCAGATTAAGCCCGGCCCGGCAAGTTTTGAAGTAATATACATTTTCGCCCAAATTTATCGTTTCCATGATCAAGAAATATTTTTAAATGAGTCCACACATTTTAATTGTTTGTTTTATTCGAAATGTTATTCCATTCAAATATTTGTTTATCAAACCCAAATCAGAGCTGGGATTATTTTGAGTAGGCGTTGATCTAAATGTTAGTGTTTTTATTAAACGGTTGTAACAATCGGAGATGATGTTGCTTCCGTGTTTATGGTTACACTTGAAATACAAGCAAAAACAGAAAGCTGAGGCGTAATTAAATGATTCTGGTTTTTATATTTGTAATAAACTTAAACAGTTGTTTTTCTCATGTTTTCTAATTGACTAATAAATTACAAAAAATGCAAACATAATACTAATATATGTATGTACATCACTACACCCTGAAAATAAAATATGTACGTGATTGACCAAATAGAGGTCATTGCCCGCCCCTTAATTCTGCCCTCGTGACCTAGTACATTGAAACAGCGTTGTTTTTGACAGTCATTATGGTAAAGTGTTCTTCCTGTACCAAGTCACGTTTAAGTTCGATTGATATTCTCACAAGCATTCAGCTGGTACATTACAGATACCGAAGGCATAAGAACTGATTTTAAATATTCATACCATATCTAACACTGGGGCAGACTGGTGGTTTCAATATCTAACTTGATTCTCAACCAATGCCCAGTATAGCTGGTAGTTACAGTAATCTTATGAGTATACTCACTATGTTAAAGAACCTAACTAACACACTTTGGTTTCTCTATTCTCTAATTTTCATTTAATCATAGAATGTATTCCGCTACTTAGTGTATACATGTATATATAT